AAGCACGCGCAAGATGTCAAAACCGAGCCCAGCAGGGGCCAAAATCGAGCCCAGCAAGGCTAAAACAGAGCCCAAGCAGGGATAAAAACTCAAGCTTTAACATAAATTAAAATTCCAACCATTTCGAGGTAAAACCGAGCCAACATAAGCCAAAACCCGAGCCAAGTGAGGGTCGAAAACCAAGCTGCGATTGAGACCTCCAATACTAAGCCACAATGAAAGTTAGAGCAATATTCTCATGCCTTAAGACATCCCAAAATAGAACTATCACATGCCTTGAATGAAAATGGATGAAAGCTTCACAATACATATACTAACATGCTCATGAGAGAGGCCAAATTATTGCAAGACCATCGTCTTAAAAGTAGCGTTAGAACAGTCCAAAAAACGGTGCTCAAAACCATAGCCAAATATTGTGAGACAGTCCCAAAACATCGGCATTTTTACCCTTATCAAACCGCAAGTCGGTAGGACCTGAAAATAACATTTGTAATAACAATCGAACCAAATTGAGCTTTAAACTTCTTCAAAACAACAAGGTCATGCAGCTCAAAGCAACTCACGCTTATGTGAACAGTAATAAACTTGTTATGCTATCAAAACTTATGTTAGAAAACATAAGATTATTTCATTCCTTTCAATTCTACATTCCATCCACCCAAGGACTGAAAAGGAATGCTAAATATGCATATAGTTGCTTGGCAAGCTGCATAAACAATTTCCCCATACCCAATGCCTCAGATTTTTTACAAAGAGGCCACCCAAAAATTTCAGATCTTCAAACCAAAGAACTACAATTTCTCACCCTTTGCAAATAACAAATAAAACTCTTTCAGATTTTTAAAAGAGCAAAGCACCAAGAAACAGAATGTAAACTTTGCAAGTGGCAAGTTTTTTTTTTTAAGTACTATATTTATAAAGCCAAAACAAAATTGGAACCCCAATGCCCCAAGCAGCAAACAAAATGGCAAAAGCTACAATTGCCTAGGTGAAAGAGGGCCTACACGCCTCACATCGAAAATCAGAATGAATTCACTACCAAAATGCATTTAGGGCTTTCAGAAAATTTTAAAATGCGTGAGAGATTAGGAAGAGAAGAAGAGTGTTACCTCCCTCCAGATTTACCCAAAACCAACAGAGCTCAAAAATGCCAAAGCACGCAGAGAGCAGACCAACTAGTGAAGCTCCACCAACGCAATTCCAACGACTTCCCCAAAATTTTAGCAGCAACTCCCCCTCTCCTTAAAATTTCTGCCTCTCTTCTCCTCAGTAGACTTTTTTTCAACAACCACCCCAAAACCCAATAGAAACTATGTTTTTTTTTAGGCAGAAAAGAGGGGGGAAGAGAAAGAAGATCACCCAATCCACAAAGCTTGTTCCGCACGGTACTCGAATCGGGCCAAAAAAAAAAAAAAAGAAATATTCCCTGCTCACAGAAGGCGAAGAAACCGAAACCCCGAAACATCCAGGACCAAGTGGCGAGCCTAGTGGCAGCGAAGGAAGTATTAGGAAGACAAGGGAATTGTCAATCGAGTGCTTCAGGGAATAGACTCGTCAGGGTCAACTTACTAAGGAAGGAAGCTCACGGCTCGTGGAGGCTGGCGAGGCTTTTGAGAGGGAGAGTCGCGGGCAGAAAGTGTCGGGTGGAAGGCTGGAGCGCAGCAGGGAGTATGTGGAAGCTTTTCAGAGCATGAGGGGACCCCAAGGAAGCTTCGCGAGAAGAATCGGGCTCGGCTAGGGCACGCGACCGAGAGGAATGGGCGGGACTCGCGAACGAGAGAGGGAGGCGAGGCGTGAGCCCTGGATTTCGTGATTTAGGGCTTTAAAAGGAAACAGAGGAGATTCGATCGTTTATATATATATTAAATTTCATGCATTTTATTCGTGCGCGGTGCCGCTACAAAATGGATGTCTTCCCTAGGCAAAATCC